AAGTTTTTATTATTATTTGTCTATTATTTGATTATTATTATTTGACTATTATTTGACTATTATTATTTGACTATTATTATTTGACTATTATTTGATTATTAATAATTCTAATTCACATAATTTTCATATAATTTATTTTTTAGATTCATCATTATGCACTTATCAAAGTCATATGTATAGAACAAAATATTTCATGTCCACGAGATTTCGGTCTCACACCTTCCACAATCCGAAGTATTGAGTTACCCGGAAAGTTTATGAAGGAATAATAAGTTACTATATTAGTATCCTATATCCTATATAAACATAACGTCCAGGAGTGTAATTTCAAATTTTGGCCTGCATAAAGCTTAGTACGGGCCAAAATTTGAAATTACACCCTGGGCGTTATATGATATAAATAATAATAGGTTTGTATGGGTTTGTTGTATAAGGAAAAAAAAGTAAAAAAAAAAAAAGGTTTTTATTTTGTATAGAAAAGTTTAATGTTTGAGTATTATTTGTACCTATAAATTAAACTCATAAATTCATTATTGTATTCATTATTGTATATTCTTGTATATATAAAATGAATAAAAAAAAATTTGGTTACAATATAACAATCTTGTCTACTTGGTTTATTTTACGTAATTATTAAATGATTCCCGGTTTTTGATATAATCTAATTTCCGGTAAAATTTACCCAATCCTTGGTTAAATTTATCCAATTTCAGGTTCAATTGGCAATAATGCAAGTTAAATCTTCTATTGTTCAATTGTTACTCAAGTTATTATCCCACCGAAACTTTAAAAAAAAAATATCTTGTGTTCAGCGTTGGAGGCGAAGGCAAAAATAAAGTTTATCTCTGTTGTACAAAAAAAAGCCACTTGCCATTGACATTTAATTTACTAAATATGATTGTAATTGCCAAAAAAAAAAAATCAAAATTTTGTAAATTATTTGTCAGCGTTAAATATTATTGTTATTATAATATATATATCAGGTATTAAATTTTTCAAATTACTTGATGTAATCATTACCGGATAGAGACAAGTTCAAAAATCTCAAATTTCACATACTTCTCGGTACAAATGCTACATAGTCCTGTTAACGCTAACCTGTTAAACAAATTATTATAATCATTTATAATCGTTATGATGCTAATGTTGAAAGAAAATTAATTTGTAATTGTAATTTAATTTAATGACAATACACAATAGAGATAGTAATTTTACCAAAAGTAAAAATACTTATATATATATATTATTGAGCTAAAACTGTTAACCAAAATTGAACTGACGCATTAGGCTGGCGCATTTACTGACACATTTATAATTGATTTAATTGACATATCGATATTGAACTGACACATTAAACTGACACATTGAACTGGTACATTGAGCTGACACATTTGAACTGACGCTTTGAACTGACACATTTGAACTGACGCTTTGAACTGACACGTTGGATGACACGTTGGATTGACACGTTGATAAATACTTAGCCAGTAAGTAAGGATTTTATTTGTGTTTGTGATTCGAAT